ATTTTGGTTTTGATCAGCTGGTCACATCTCTCCTCAGCATCTGCCAAGCCATCAGCTTCCTGCAGAAAAAAAATGTAGTATTTTCAAAATCATATTGGTATGCTTGTTTTCTGTGGGTAAAGCACTGCAGAAAGCATTGCACAGAATAGATTTTCTGAGTAGTTTTTCTTACTCAGTGTACCTTGTACATTAAAATTTTAAAAGTGTAATAATTATTAGATCTTGCAATATTTTAAAAACAAAGGGATCTTAGAAGCACATAACATGCACTTTAATATCAAGTTGAAACAAAGGTGATATCAGAAAACAGAAGACAGTATCTTCTGCTATTAAGTTTTTCAGAATCTAGAAACATCCTTGAGTTGTGATCATAATGTCCCTTCCTTATATCTGCCCCCGTTTCTCAAAGGCTAGGTATAAACAAAGTGGGCTTAATATGTAAAGGGTATTCCAAAAAGCAGTTTGTGTTTCTATGGGCTAAGGAAATAGCCAGAGCAAATGTTTATTTTAAAAGAAATATCTTAACTCTAGCCCAAGATCTATTTATTCACAGTTAGGATTCAATCTCTGTAATGGCATTTTCTCCATAATGTTTGAATGCTAAAAGACATAATACCTAAAGGCATAAATATAATAGAACCCAAATGTACAATGTCACCAGTGATGCTTACAGACTGGACTTGGAGCTGCAAATCATTCTTCTCTTGTGTCAGAGACACCATTTTTTCTTCAAGTTCCTTTATCTTGGCCTCTGCCTTGGCAAGCTCTTCCTTTGTTTTTGCAAACTCTTCTTTCATGGTGGCCATCTCCTTCTCTGACTCAGCACTCTTTAGCAGAGGCTTGATCTTGAAGAACAGTTTCATCCATGGCCAATGTTTGACATTCATGAATGAACGGACATTGTACTGAATAGTAAAGATGGCCTCTCTGTCAACAAAGTTAAGATATGCATTTCATGCCTTGAAGAGACTGACCTTCCAAACTATTCCCTATGCTTGTGCTTTTCTAAATAATAATGGCATGGGTGGGGGGAATCATACCTCCTTGCCAACATCTTCTGGTATTCAACTCTTGCTAAGAACCCACGACACATGGCTTGTGTACGTGTTATTAGGTGAGCCAATTTATCATCTCTCATTTCCTCTAGAAGACCCAAAAGACCAGCTTTGAAGAATACCTGTAAAATGAAAATGTTACAAAATGTCACATGCAGCCTCTACATCACTGGAAGGGTGTTTACATCAGAGCCAGTTTATACCTTGGTATGCCCAAATTTATACTGGGTGTGGTCAATATCAATGGATCCAAGAAGCTTCTCAGAAGCCTTCTTACTGTCAATGAACTGACCCTCTGGGATGGCACTGGCATTTAAAACCTTGTATCTGTTGGAGAAAATGGAACAACATATTGCATGACATAAAATACACCTCTTTGAAGAAGAGCATTTTCTTATTTCTATTTGTCCCAAAAGTCATATCCAGGAATTATTGGACATAAAAGTGAATTGTTATAGAGTGTCTATTCAACAATGAAAAATTTCAGAACATATTTAGAAATCAATAATATTCGATCAAAAAGGATACATAGTTTGCAGTATTCATCAACACTAAATTAATCTTGTAGGAAATTGTGACCATGTGAAAGGGTGTGTGTGTGTGTGTAAATGTCTAGCATTGAGCTCTGTAGGAAAGCTAAGCTAACCTCTGTTTGAAATCACCATAGATGATCCTACTGGGGAATCCCTTTCTGCAAATACGGATGCCTTCCAGGACACCATTACACCTCAGCTGGTGCAGTACGAGCTCATGTTCCATGGCACCTTTCAAAGCAATCAAAGAAGGAATTAGCATCAAGTTACAAAGCACAGAAAAGCAATCACTGGGTGATCAATGCCTTACCAGGTGTTTTTGTTTCATTGGGAATGATGCAACGCACAAAGTGGGGGTGAGTGCTTCTCAGGTTGCTCATCAGTTTGTTTAAGTTCTCCTATAGGACCAGAAAACATATATGTGGTTACGCAATCCAAAGAAAGGATTCAGGAGATACGGGGGATAACCATGCAGACAAAACAGCTGATTGTGGTTTAGACAAGAAGGACAAGAGGGACAAGGACAAGACAGGACAAGAGCTTCACTGAATGACAAGACAGGACAAGAGCTTCACTGAAGGACAAGAAGGACAAGAACTTCACTGAATGTCAAAGAGATAAAAGTCAGACTTATATTTCAACTTCATGACATGCACAGCTAAGACGTTCTTTGAGGTTTGGGATGCAGTCATTTGCACCGGCAGAGAAACAAGTTGCTGTCTGGGTTTAATAGCAGCTTGTCTCCTGGACTTTAGGGAAGTTGGTCACGACAACTTCAAACAAAGGTCTTGTTCAGAATATCAGAGCATAAGAGCCCTGCTGGATTAGACCAAAAGTCCCTCTGGTCAAGTATGCTGTCAATACAGTGGCTGATCAGCCGCTCACAGAAAAACATATGCAACAGCACCTTCCTACCCATGTTCCCCAGCAACCAATCTACCTAGGCCCACTGGCCTCTGATACTTGCTGTATACTGGAATGAGGAACTGCCTTCAGTACATATTACTTCTTTGGATTTAACTCTCTAACTAATAAGTTCAGCAACATTGACACATGTCCCTTATAGAAAGTGAGTGCTCCACATACTTCACTCATATCTCCACATACTTCACTCATTGTAAGCCGCCCCGAGGCTCATGCGATGGGGTGGCATATAAGTTGTTTAAATAAATAAATAAATAAATAAATAAATAAATAAATAAATAAATAAATAAATATCTCAGCTATGTGGGCACGGTTTTTAAATCCGTGAGCAAAGTAATTCAGAATAAAATAGAATTTTCTATGGATTGAGATCCAATATCTCACTCAAATCATTCAGGGTGTGGAAATACTGAGGAATGGAAGTACAGGCATCTCATCTCATCTCATCATCAGGTGTTTCTCAGTCTTCACAAAGAAAAACATTTTAGCATGCTAGGTACCCTGAAAAGAGCAGACACAGTCTGGAAAGAGGAACCCTTCTTCTTGCCACCTTTCTTGGAACCACCACCCTCTAAAATTGAAAGTGGGGAAGAAGGGAGAGAAAGGTTAAATGGGTCTCAGAAGTTCTCTTTCAAGAGAAATATCCATTTATGTGTCTCTTAGTCAAGAATGACTAAGACTTAGTCAAGAATTTTTTCAGTCATTACCAGCATCTGCAGGGCGGTCAGCAAACAGGAGAGCTAGAGTCTTCATGGATGATTTCTGATAGAGACCCACCACAGTATCATTCAAGGGGTCCTTGTTCTTCTCCAGCCAGCCACCGATGTTGTAGTCCACAGTGCCAGCATAGTGTACCAGAGCAAAGTGGGCCTCAGGCTTGCCTTTGACAGGCTTGGGCTTCTGGAAGTTGGCGGATTTGCCAAGGTGCTGGTCATAGAGCTTGTTCTTGAAAGACTGATCAGTTGCCTTGGGGAACATGCATTCTTCTTCTAGGATGGAGAAAATGCCCATGGGCTGCAAAGAACAGCAAGAATGAGATTGCTTAGACATCAGGCAACACTAGACAGTTTGATTAATTTGATTAACCAGTTTGATTAACCAGTTTGATTAATTTGTCTATTTGCAAATGAAGAGCTTTCTGTCAGAGTGGAGGAGCTAAGAAAGTGCAAAATACAAACATGCATTAACATTTTCCCTTTGAAAACTGGAATACAACTTCCAGTTTACACCATACTCAGATCTCCAAATACAAACATATAGGGATGGACATGTGATATCCCAAACATTCTTATATAGTTATTGTGAAAATCATAAAAGTTGTAGAAGGTGGTACAAACTGAACAGAGTCATGATATGAGGAAGTATATATTATGTTTCTATGTATTCTTGGAAGATTCTTCACATAGTTGCCTTAAGTAGTTCTGTCCCATTATTATTCTTGCGCATACTTAATGGTGCATGTATGATCTGGATTGGATCTTCTTCCAGAAACTTAAAATCTTGCACTGGATTTCAAGTATTTGTGCTTCAAACATACCTTCTCAATAAGTTCAATGCAGGCAGCCAGGTCCATTCCAAAGTCAATGAACTCCCATTCAATTCCCTCCTTCTTGTACTCCTCCTGCTCCAGCACGAACATGTGGTGGTTGAAAAACTGTTGCAGTTTCTCATTGGTGAAGTTGATGCAGAGCTGCTCCAAGCTGTTGAACTGCAGAAAAAGAAGGCATTATGTATTAGTTTTTTAAAAGATTATTAATGTGCATTATTACCCACTCCAAGGTACTTAGTGTCCCAGATTCCCTCCAGCAGCTTAACATTCTTCTCTTCTTTTCACGGGATACATGTACTTATTTGATCACTGTATACAGTAACTAGGTTTCTATGCTACCTTTCCCTAGCTTCATGTGATCTTTCCATTTTTATGGTTTAATCAGATCCTTTGTATGTTTGGTTCCTCCATTAGTATATGTCCTTCAGTATGAATATTCCCAAACTAGGCTTTTGTTGTTCAATCTCCCCATCTCATTTAGAGGGGGTCCAAATAATATTGTCTTCTATTGATTACCCTCCTGCATTTTTCACTGCTTCTTCTGTATTTTTTTTTTTTGCCACAGAAAATCACAGGGGACAACAAGCTATCTTATACAGAGTTAGACATTGGTCCAACTAGCCCAGTATTTTCCAGCCCTACCTGGAGATGTTAGGGGTCAAGCCTAGTGCATGTGTCTTGCCTCTGACCCATTGCCTTCTGAGTCCACTTAGGGGAAAATACGGAGTAGTTCTACAATATATTTTGATCTCTAGCACTAGGAGCTCTCTGTCTGCAAACACCCTATTGAGCCCCATGCCAAACTATTTTAAGATAGCTGTCTAGATGTGCTCTTTGGAAAAGTTTAGCCCCATTCTGTCACAAGGCATGCACAAGTGCTCTGTGTTTTCAAGAGATTAAGCCCCCACCTGCCCAGTATTTAGGCTGTTAAGTTTTTTGGTAATGCAATGTTGAGTCAAACCTTCAAAAACTAGTAGAAGTAATAAAAACAAAACACTGTTTCCCCTATAGCCTTCTATATTTGTCTTTCTCCTGGTTTCCTTACATCAAAAATCTCAAAGCCAGCAATATCCAGCACACCGATGAAGTACTGTCTGGCTTGCTTGGTATCCAGTTGCTGGTTAATACGGACAACCATCCACAAGAACATCTTCTCATAGACAGCCTTTCCAAGAGCACCCACATTGTTGTACACCTGGAAAGACAAGATAAAGACAGGAGTTATGACACACTGCAAAGGACTGAATTTAATTTAATAATTAGTGCAGTCACTGATTTATTTACTAATTAGTGACCTCCCTAGGACAATCAATCAAACCATGATTTTGGCTAGTATCATATTACCTGCTGGACAGTTTGGCCTTTGGTGACGTACTCGTTGCCGACCTTGACTCGGGGGTAGCACAGAGCTTTCAGCAAATCTGCTGAATTGAGGTTCATGAGGTAGGCAGCCTTGTCAGCCACTGAGCACAGACATGAGTAAAAGAGATTATTAGCACAGATTATTAGTCAAATATTAATTTGTTGTTAATGGCAGTGCATTAATGCAATCTTGGAAATTATGGGAACAATTAAATCATAGTAAGGTTTATCTAAAACATTTAACAGACCCTGCTCAAGTGGGGATGAGGTGGCACCAAAGAAACAAGATAGTATATTTGTCCATTTTGTGACAGCCCATAACTCTGTCCAGCAATGAGCCTTCAATGGCGTTATGTTAAACTGAAAAACATATGCACTGTTTCTAAGAACTTCAGAGTTTAGAATGCACTCATAATACATCATTTTTTAAAATCTGTCATAAGAACTGGCATACATATATTTCCTTCCTTCCTTCCAATGGTTAATTTTCCATAATAATCACTTTTCCATCCACTGCAGAAATAATCCAGTGGACCTCCATCACATGAGAGTCTCTGCCTTCTATATGTAGTATATATATAGCATATAGAGTAATATCAGAAATGCCTGGTGAGCCTAAAACCCTGAAAGAATGTGGTCCTAAGGAGAATCTGAGGGGAAGAGTTTTCAAGGCCTTAAGGAAAGAATGACCAGTGGCAGGTTGCATGAATGTCATTTCTTGCCAGCCAATAGGATTTGCCATCAAATAGGTTAGTTCTTTCTGCAGTTCCAAGAACCCTCCCACAAGTCTTCCAAATACCTTCGGTGCCATCTGGCTCAGCCTGCTCCTCACGCTGCTTCTGCTTGAACTTCATGTTCCCATAGTGCATCACAGCACCTGTCAGCTTGTAAATGGCAGTCTTCTCTTCAGGAGTGAAGCCCAGGATGTCAATGGCTTCCTGTCGATGGAATCAGTCATCAAACTGCTGTCAAATGCAATGCTGAGCCAAAACTGACCCTTCAAATTCATCATCCTGTTCTGAGGCAGAGTATTTGGCCACTAATTCCATTTGGCAATTAGTGGCCTGTGATTTCCATGCACAATGCCCTTTTTGGAACAGCACTTTTTCTTATTATACGAAAAATAACAGACCTTCGAGGCACCATAAAGACTAACACATTTAGCTGACATAAGCTTTCCCAAATATGTCCAGTTGTTCAGATACAGTGGACACAGTCCATAGCTTAATCAAAACTACATGTGCTAGTCTTTACGACGTTGCAAGATTTGTACGTTTGTCTGTCTTTGTTGCAACAGACTAATATGGCTACCCCTCTGGATGTTCTTGATGTAACATCATGCTATCACTCTAGGGGGAGTGTGGGTAAAAAATGGCCCCACTAGCCATGGCTCCTGTGTCTGTGATTTTACACACACGCTACTCCTACATGTTCCTGTAGACCTGGGGAGGCAGCAGAGCTATGCTTACACGAAAGCAGGAAGAAATGGCTACCATTTCCAGAAAGCTTCTCGCATTCTAAATTTTCTAGAACGTCTCTCCCCACAACACTAATTTGAAAGGAGGATTCATCCACCCAACTCCATTTCCATTGAAAAAAATAAAGCCAAAATCTAATTCTAGTAATTCAAAGTGATGCTCCATGTGGCCAGTTGTACAAGTTACTTACATCAGTTGCCATCAGCTCTTCTTGGTCATTAATGCTGGCAACAGAGATCTCACCCTGACTCACAAAGTGATAGTCATATGGGTTGGTAGTAATCAGAAGCATCTCTGAATAAGGAGAAACACAGATACGTTTTCATCCCCTGTAGCAAGATCTAAGTAGCAACGGCATGCACCAGAACAGATGCTTCTCTTACCAATCAGCTCTGGCTTCTTGTTGGACATGATCTGATAAAAGATGTGGTAGCTCCTTTCAGCTTTCAGCTGGAAAGTAACCCTGGATTTCTCCAGCAGATCTGGCAAGGCAATGGAATATGATTAGCTCAAAAGGAAGGAAGGAAGGAAGGAAGGAAGGAAGGAAGGAAGGAAGGAAGATACTCTAGAAAAATTTCTTACATGTCTCAATGTCAGCAGAAGCCAGTTTGCCTGTAGCACCAAAGTGGATTCTGATGAATTTACCCTATGGGGGGAAATGGTATCTAGTTACAAGACATTTAAGCCAGATTTTGTATGCATTCATGCACTTCACAGTGCTGTTTTCATAACATGATATATTTTATAATAGGAAACCAACCAACACTATTAAAAACATAATGAAAATGAAGAACCAAGAGGCTCATAGTTGAATGACCTGTGCTGAACCTTTTCAGCTTTGCAGAAGTAATAACAAATTCTGTGTAGTTTAGCAAATATTTTATGAATCTACACTGGCCCAGCAATTTATGAAAAAGAAAAAGCTTAGTGGTTTAAGATGTAAAAAATGCAATGGCTAAAATAACCCACATTTCAATGAATTTTATTGTAATAATATTCATTATTCATATTTATGATCAAGTAAGAATATGATTAAGCTATATTTTACACAAATATAAATTACTGTCAGGAAGGATGATAACCAAGGATTGATATTCTGAAAGATAATATCACTGTGAGATGAATATGATAGAAAAGCTTAGCTATTTATGAGCATGCTCTTTATTTGATGAAACAAGAAGAAAATGGATAGTTCCAGTTGTGTAATATAGAACAAATAACAGCATTTTTAAAAATCAAATTGCTGGCAATTTTCTAAAACTTGGCCTTCCCTATTATTTTCACTCATTCTATTTGCCTAACAAGCCAAGTTTAATGAACATGTCAAAGAAGAGAGCAGTTTGGCTGTATTGTGTTTTTCTATAAAATGTGCTTTTATACAGTTTCGATGCTAGCTGGGCTTTTGCAGGCCCTTGACCTTGTCTATAGCATGCCTTGGAATATTAGCTACAGTTTATAGCAAAGTGTCCTGGAGCATCCCTTTATGTGCTGGATCATCTTGGTCCTGGTTACTTTCATCATTCAGTACCAGCAAAGATGGCCCCAAAGATAGGACAAATTGTCCCAGTGATACCCTCTCAAACACATTTCTGAAAATAAGACTTACAAAACGAGAGGAGTTGTCATTCCTCACAGTCTTGGCATTCCCAAAGGCTTCCAGCAAGGGGTTGGCACTGATGATTTGATCCTCAAGGGTGCCCTGCAAAGGCGGCATTGCCAAGTTATCTATTTTAGACCAGCAAGAGTTAACAAAAAGGAAAGTCCAACCTTCCCACCAGTAGGCCACTCACCTGCAGCTTTCCAGTTTGTTGGGGTTCTTCCTTCTTCTTATCAGAAGCAGCAGCAATTGTTGCAAAGTACTGAATGACACGTTTCGTGTTCACAGTCTTTCCAGCACCAGATTCTCCACTGTCAATATAGATAGAAAGACCATGGCGTCAGCTAGAATACTGCACAACACAGCTTGCTCAAAGTAGAAGCATTTGTTTTAGAAGCATACGTACGTGATCAGGATTGACTGATTCTCACGATCTAGAAAACAAAGTTAAATAGATATGACTGAAATTGAAATAAACCATAATGATTAATACAGCAGTTTCCTCATATTTCCTCTTTCATTTTAAGTTCCCATGTGGGCAGCTAAAGCATATACATGAAAAACAAGGGGAAAGTTATCATGAATTAAGAGTCATCATGTATGTAAACAACAGTTTTGTCAACCGTGCATGCCATTACTTTGAATTGGATTGCTCTTCTCTATCATTCCTATGGATTTTGTCCATTTCTCTTCCAAGCAAGATCCTACTGTATACAGCACTAAATTATGACCTGATACTATTATTGCAAATAAGCTCACAGAATTCACTAAGTATACCCTGAAATATGTATTTATTGATTAGATTTATATCCTGCCTTTTTCTTTTTTAAAGAAACAAAAAGGCTTACATCCTTCTCCTCCTGCTCTCAATATTATCCCCACCACAACAATCCTGTGAAGTAGGTTGGATTGAGAGTGGGTGACTGGCCCAAAGCCACCCAGTGGGCTCCATGCTGAACAGGGACTAGAACTCAGATTGCCAGACCCACACTCTTAACCACTGCACCACACTGGCTTTCATTGCCAGAGTGCAATTAAGATTTATAATTTTTAGAGGGTCTTTCACTGGATTTCTCTTCTTTGCGTCCCAAAGGAACGGAGCCATAATCCTTTGCTCTAACTGGTCACACATGTTGCTTTCTGAAAAGATACGGACTCAGTCTAGGAACTGTTGTTCTGCAGTCACCTTGATGTATGACGACCTACTCACCAGTCAGCATGAACTGATAGGCATTGTCAGAGATGGAGAAGATGTGGGGAGGGGCCTCCTGGCGCTTTTTGCCCCTATAGGCAACCACCACCTCCGGGTTGTACACTGGCAGCCATTTGTAGGGGTTGACAGTGACACAAAAGAGACCTGAGTATGTCTGTAAAGGAAAGATAAATTGTAAATTGCCTTGTCTGTGAAAGAATATTCTGTACTGAGAATACAATGGTAGATGTCAGACTATTCTCACATAGATCATCCAGGCTGCATAACGCTCTTTGAGGTTATATAGGACAGCAGGCTCGTGGAGATGGGTCATCATGGCCATGTCTTCAATCTTATCGAATTTGGGAGGGTTCATCGGAAAAATTTGGTCATCCTTCACAGTCACTGTCTGCAAGGAAGAAAGATACCAATCAGCATTAAGTCAAGAACAAAGCTATTACTATTTTTTCTATATAAACTGGTGTTTTCCTACTCACTTCTCCACCTTCTTTCTTGACTGTGACCTTCCCAGCTTCTTTGCTCTGAACAACACCTTTCACAAAGGAAAGCTTAGGATCCACCACAAAGACTGATGTCTTCGCATCAAAGGGTTTGTTTTGAGCCTCTATTCTCTCCTTTTCTGACTTGCGCAGGTAAGGGGCGGCTTCGCCGAAGATGGCCATCTCAGAGTCCGAAGACATGATTGCACTTTAGCAGAAAACACTAAAGAAAAACAGTTCACATGATGACCGATGTATACACCCAGGATGTATAGCCTCATACAAGTCTAATATTGGCATGGCCTTGGCCAATTGGGGAAATTGTGTCCTAAGTGTTTTATTAGATTGGGTAAAACTGGTTTTCCATCCAACACTGAGACTTGGTGACTATAGGCAAATTATTTAATTAACTCCAACTGATAATTCCAATTTAGAAATGCTTACATGTTAGTAAAACCAAAGCATTCATGAAATTGTTCTATTATTATTATTATTATATTGCATTAATATCCCACCTTTATTCCTCTTGTGAGGAATTCAAGGAGGACCTCAAGCTTACATAGCTCCATTTTATTATCACAACAACACTGTGAAGTGGGTTCAGCTTAGACTAGCTGCCTGGTGCAAAGTCAACCAGTGAGTTTCATGGTCAAGTGAGTCTACAAGCGAGATCCCCTGGCCATCACTCTAACCTCCACACCTTATACTCATACAAGCAAAGTAATACACACATTTCCAGATTGGTTCCAATACTGACATTATGCCTACGAGGCCTGCATTCAAGTGATCAGAGCACTTGGACACTTCTGGAGAATGCTGCATACTATTTAGCGTCATAGAACACAATCAATTGCTTCAATAGAACACAAGCGGTAAATGCAAGAAAATTGGAGCCCATATGGGCTCCCTAAGATAAAAAGAAGTAACGGCATGCGTGGTGGAATGCTGAGGTTTTTAAAATTAACAATAATAATTATCCTAATCATAATCAAATGCAAAGGGTGCAAAAAACAAACAAGTACTGAACATGCTCTGAAGCCACAGAAGGTTGAGTATCAGTAGAAAAGGAAAAGAGAGAACTGGGCGGGGAGGGGCAGCATGCAGTTCTCTACTGGGAAGAAATGGCTACCTGAAGCCAAGTACAAGAGCACTGTGCAATACTTCGTTGCAGGTCTCATTTTCCCCCTCTGATAGCCAGGGCTTTTTTTTGTCATAGAACGCACTGGAACAGCGTTCCGGCACCATTTTTTGACGGATTTTTCCAAGTGATCGTGACTTGCCCTGTCAGGCATAGCAGGTTGGCTGGCAAAAATCATTAACATAGTGCCTGCAGGCTGCTTGTGTGTTGGCGCTGATTGTGAGGGCGCTGCATGGCTTGGGATGCTGCTCGGCTTGGGATCGGTCATGTGGTTGCACGCTGAGTGCTTACTGCTGGCGGCAACCATTATGTTTATGTGTGTGTAGAGTGAATGGCTACATGCAAAAGGTAAATAAGTTCTTTATTTCAAAAAAAAGTTGGTGAATTGAAAATCTTTTTTAGTGTAAAAGTGTGACTCCAAGTGTGAGTTCCGGCACCTTTTTTTTTCCACAAAAAAAGCACTGCTAATAGTGAATTCAAGAGGTAGAGGGCCAACAAGATTGTAATCAAAATGGGATCACTGAGAATTCAAAGGTAGCAAGTGAAAGTTGAGTGAGCCCCAGGCTATGCAGAATTGGAAGCCATTTATAAAACCTCACACCAAATAAGGCAAAAAGTGGCAACTTTTTTCACAGGTCCCACTTCAATGTCTTTAGCATTTTTCTGGCTTGTTTTAAAACTCCTTGTGTAAAATGAGAACAAGCTTTCTTAATCATTTCTCTCATGAGCTTTTAAGAGAGAAAATGCAATGCAGGTAGGTATAAATATAGAATCATAGAATAGTAGAGTTGGAAGGGGCCAAGAAGGCCATTGAGTCTAACCCCCTGCTGTTGCAGGGCTTCAAGTCACACTATCCCACCCAGATGGCTGTTGAACTTCTTTTTGAATGTCTCTAGTGTGGGAGAGCCCACCACCTCTCTAGGCAACTGGTTCTACTGCCGTGTTGCTCTGACAGCAAGGAAACTTTTCCTGATGTTTAACCCAAACCTGGGTTGTCAGAACTTTACTTGATTATTCCATGCCCTACTCTCTGGTATCAGGGAGAAGAGATCTTGATATACCAAACATTGCTGAAAGTGCAATCCTTCAACTGTGTCTCTTGGACAAGCTGAGATGTCCAAGAAATCTATACTGGTTTCAAGAGAGTTTTGAATTCTTACAATCTGACCTGTTGATTCTATAGCACATTCTCCAGACCAGCTTTTTACTTTAAAATAATATATATATCTTTATTTGTATACTGCCCCATTACTGAAGTTCTCTGAACAGTTTACAATAGTCCATAAAAAGTCAATAAATATACAATTTAAATCAGAAAAAGAAGAACATTAAAAAGTTCAAAACAGCTAAAAACCGATAAAAACAAACAATTGCTAAAAATGCAAAAGAATGGCTCCGTGAGACAGTCAAACCCCAGGGTGCCCATGTAAGTCTTTAAAGGCCATCTTAAACTGGCTCAGAAAAGATGACAGCTTCAGTGCCAGCTGGACAGCAGTGAGGAGATTGTTCCATAGATGGTAGAGAGGGTCGCAAGCCCTCCCCTATGCTCCCCTAAGCACTCCCCATGCCCCCCTTGGAGTTGGCACTTGGAAGAAGGCCCCAGAGGTTGAGCATGGTAGATTGAAGTTGGGACAAGCTCTCTAACAGGCATTGCAGTCCTAGGCTGTGTAAGGCTTTATAGATTAAAACCCACTCTGTGAATTGGGCTTAGAAGCATTCAGGCAGCCAATGCAAGCTGGCCAGAATTGGTCTTGTATTGTCGGGCCTGCTGGTTCCTGTTATTAATCTGGCTGTCACATTCTTCCTGAGCTGCAGCTTCCAAACAGTCTTCAAGGGCAGCTCCACATAGAATGCATTGCAGTAATCATTTAGAGGTTGCCAGGCTATCCCTGCCCAGGTAGGGTGCAGCTATGTCACCAAGTGAAGCTTGTAGAAGGCACTCTGAGCCACTGATGCCACCTGAACCTCAAGTGACAAAGACGGATCAAGGAGCTCCCCCAATCTATGACCCTGCTGCTTCAGGGAGAGTGCAACCCCATCTAGAACAGTTTTGTGGGGATTTGCACTAATTTCATTAGCATATGTGCACATTAGCACTAAAGCAAATGAACATAAGTAGAAGTGAATGTTAAAAAGATGAATTTGTCGATGAGTGGACAATGGAATGCAAAGAAACCTGACAATTTGCAATGCACAGAGAGAAGAAATTTAACAGAATCTGCACATCCCTAGGTACAAGTCCCCATCAGTTCTCAGAGGGGAACTGTTGGTAGGTTGTGCTCTTAGCTTGCTAAGTCAAGCATGTTGGAATTCTAGAACATTGTGGGAAAGAGAGTTGCTATTCCATGTCCAAGCTTTTTCATCAGAAATCCAACCCTTTATTTGGAGAAAAAAGAAACCAAGGATTAAATTAAAAATACTTCAGGAAGCCAAAAAGAACGAGGGTTTTGGTCTTCCTGATTGGATGTTGTATTATCAAGTGTCTGTTCTAACTTGGCTAAAAGAATGTATAACATTGTGAAATAAGAGAATTTTGTATCTTGAAAGTCATGACTTGCAAATGGATTGACATGCTTATATGTGGTAGGAGAAGGCTAAGTCACATGGGTCTTTTCTGAGTCATTTTATTAGATCATTAATGTCAGTGTGGGAGAAGCTAAAGTCAAAAGTATATAATAAGCTACCAAGACGGTTTTCACCTATGGAAGCTTTTGTATATTCAAAGGGATCATAAGATATGATGATATCTTGGGTAAGGACGGAGGCCTGACACTAGATCAAGAAATACAAGAGCAGGGATCTAATATCTCCTGGTGGTATAAGGTGCAGATGCAATCGAGATATGCTAAAGATTGTAAAGCATGGGGGTTTTACAAAGACTTAACAGCGTTTGATCAAGTGATGCTTAAAACATGAGAAAATGATTAAAAGATTATATGATTTTCTACTTGACAAGAAAATGGAAGGAGAACAGGTCAAGGAAACTATGATAACATGGGCACAAAATTTTGGATATAATGTTGAATTAGAAAAGTGGCAAAAGCTATGGGAGAGAACTATTAAGGTAACATTAGCAACTTCGTATAAAGAAAATCTCTATAAAATGTTCTATAGATGGTATTTGTCACCAAGTCGATTAGCTAAGATGTTTCCAAATATGTCAAATAGATGTTGGAAATGTAAACATAATGTGGGTACTTTTTATCATATGTGGTGGACCTGTGATAATGTGAAAAAGTATTGGATTAAAATACATAAATGGCTTGAGGAAATACTACAAAACCCTTTGCTTTTAAACCTGAAGCTTTCTTGTTAGGCATCATAGCAGAAGATATTAACAGACAGGAAATGTATTTGATGTTACATTTAATCACAGCGGCGAGGATTGCATTTGCTCAATACTGGAAAAGTGAGGAACTACCCACCGATGAACTGATTCTAAGAAAGATTGTGGACTGTGCAGAAATGGATAGATTGACTTTATCACTGAAGGAGAAAGAAGACACTGACTTCTATCAAACTTGGGACTTTTTCTATGATTGGCTGGAGAAACGGGACTTGGCATAGATTTAGAGATGTCTTTAAGTTATTATAAACTGATTTGAATATGATTATAGAATGTTAAAAATATGTAGCAGGGGGCTGACCCAGTAAGTCTGACATATGTGATGATTGATGTTTTTAGTGTTAGTTTAAAATTTTAATAAAATTTCTTTAAAAGAAATCCAACCCTTTGTGGCCCGATGGAAGGAGGTGCATGCCAGGCCCAGTGCAGCTCCTCCATAAATCAACTCCACTGCACAGAAATTGAATAGAGTAGTTCTAGAACAGTTCTAGAACAGACCTGTGACATTCGCTAGCAACAGAAATAAATGAAAAGGCAAGCATGACTTTGCCATTATTTCCCAAAACTCAAAACCAACAATAAATGAAAAGTCCAACCCCATACTATTAGTGGTCCATGAGCCATTATTGGTATTAGTTCTGGAACTGGATGTTTCTGAGCTCCACCTGTTTTTCCGCTGTGAGAATGATACAGGATAGGCAAGAGAGGTAATGCCTC